TTAAGTACGGCTAGCATCTTCCAATAAGCAAACAAAGGGATAAATAAACAAACAAACAAACAGACAGACAAACAAACAAAACATCAGCAACAAGCAAACAAATAACAAGCTCAATACCAATTTTTTTATAACCCCAAACCCCAAAAAGCAACCCCCCCCCGAAACTGACCTTGATGTAGCCGGCCTGGGAGAAAGTCTTCCCACAGAAGCGACATGCCAGCTTGTTGTTGGGGCTGGCCCTGGACACTCCTGCGTCACTTCCGCTGCCCCCTGACCCCGTCCCCGCGGGCCCCCCTGGACCCCCGGGCCTCGAGTCGCCGGACGGGGCCGCGCTGCCCACGCCGTAGCTGTTGAGATAGTTAGCCAATCCAGACTCGGCAGCTGCCATTCCGCGAAGGTGATTGGTCGAGAAGTTGAGAATGCTGGGCAACGATTGGTTGGTCGCCTGCGAGGAGGAGGAGCTTACGGACTCGGGTTTGTTCCCGAGCCCGCCATTGGTTAGATTTCCCTCCGACTTGGCGAAACCGCCAGCAGGGGGCGGTTCGTTTTTAAAAGAGCCGGGCGAGTGAGAAGATTCTTGTTTAAAAGGGGCGGAAGGGGACGTATCCATTTTGTAACCGTTCGCAAGCGCTTCCAACGGCTTGTACGGCTCGGGGGGTCGGCTGAAATCTTTCGAGTCAGACCCATTGTTGCTGCTGCTGCTGTTGTTGTTGTTGTTGTTGTTGTTACCGTTGCTATTGCTGCTGCTGCTGCTGCTGTTGTTGTTGTTGTTTCCGCTGTTGTTGTTACCATTGTTGCTATTATTACTGCTGTTGTTGTTGTTGTTGTTGTTGTTGTTGATGTTGATGGAGTTTATATGGTTGTTACTACCCACCACATTCCTCGCCGAGTTGCCGTAATCCTCGAGGATCTTGCTGTACGTATCCAGCGGTTTGGGGAAGGAGTTGTCCGCTAACCTCGCGGCGATGTACGAGTCCGTGATCTTTGGCGTGTACGTGGGCGACGGGGCTGATGACGTCATTAAGGACGACGACGATGACGTCATAGCGGCCGGGTCGTAGGGCACCTTCCCGTAGGCGTCCAGTGACTTAGCGAAGGCGTCCTGGAACTTCATGGGGAACCCCCCGTTGGACATCCCGTCCGGGCTGTAGCCGTTCTGGGTGGGTTCCGACCTGAAGGGGGACAACGCCTCCCCCGCGCTGTGGGACCGGGAGGGAGGGAAGGCGGGCTGGGCTGTGGCTGAGGCTGCTGCTGCGGCTGCCGCGCTACTGGGAGTGTGGGAGCGGGAGGAGGAGGAGTAGGAGGAGGAGGAGGAGGGAGGCAGAGAGCCGTCCGGGCCGGCGATACCGTTGGTGTAAGGGCCGATGGAGGGATCCGAACCCCCACCACCACCTCCCCGCGGGAAGCCGCCTGGCGAGGAGGAAGATGACCCTGCACCACCACCACCACCGCCGTTATTACCTCCCTGGTTGTTGGTGTCCGGTTTGGAGAGGTCAAGGCCGTTGGCCGTTTCTTCCGGTGACGAGTTCAACTCGTGACCCCCACCACCATTCCCGCCGCCGCCTCCACCCATGGGCGGTTTGGACAGGTCTAAGCCCAGCGCGGTGTTCCGCCGCACGTCCAGCGGGGGTTTCACGTCCATTTCGTCTACAAAAGGCCGGGCTTTCTCCGGGCCGTCGTGGGGGCTGCTGCCCGGGCTGCCGGCCGTGGCCGAGTTTCCATTGTTGTTGTTGTTATTGTTGTTGTTGTTGTTGTTGGGTTTGCCGCCGTTTCCGTTGGGGAGGGGCGAGGAATCGGATGCTAGCTTCGTCTCCGACATGGTTGAGATCTCATAGAGACAGGGGCGTCATGGGAGGGACAGAAGGACGAGTGGGAGGGAGGGAGAGAGAGAGGAGGAACTGGCGGGAAGGGGTGGTACCCTGTCGTTGTAACATTTATTCGTATCACTATAAATAGTTATAGTACTATCACAGTAACTCTCATAAAAAAGTATTCCGACTTAATAATATAAGCAAATCAGCGTTAAAGCTCAGTTTTTGTTTGTTTGGGGTTTAAAAATTTTTTAAATTTTTTTTTAAACCAAGAAATATTCAGCACAAATGGGTAAGCAACACAGAAACGCTTACCCTGAAAACACTCAAAACTTTATTTTAAAAAGTTAGATAGATCTATGTGGTTGGGGGGGAAAAAAGTCAGATCTGTGGTTCATGAAGGTGGTGGTTCTTTTTTCTTTTTTTTTTAAAGAGAGAGAGAGAGAGAAATAGAGAAAAAAAAAATCTCTAAATTAAAAAAAAAAAAATATCGGGACAAAAAGAGTCCTGACTAAATAAAGGTGAAGGGCGTGATCAATGTAAACTGTGGTTTGATCCGGGGGGGCTTGAGGTCAGAGGAGGAGGAGGGGGAGGAGGTGGGGCAGGATGA